TGTCCTTGCATGGCTTGCCCCTGGCCTGGGCATTGATTCTAATACAGATTTGAATGGATCACGTCAAACCTTGCCAGGGATTATGGGATCATTGCCATCCAGCCTGTAAGTTCTGTGAGAACCAGGAACATGCAGGCCTGTGAAGACCTAGAGCAGGTTGCACTTCATTCTTAAAGACATTCCTGTGCAGCATTGCTTCAGCTCACTGCACCCACTGCAAGCCCAAATATCCCAAATCCTTTTGAGCAAATCCAACAAGCTGACGGGCTCTGGACAGCAACAAGGCCGGTGAGACATAATAACAGCTATACAATGTGCTAAGCTTGGCTCTCAGAGTCTCAACAGAGTCTTAGCATACTGCTGGGTGATGGCATGAAGACTGGGACTTTCTTTATGTACTCCTGGTACGCGGGATCATGGCCATGCTTGGCATTTGCCAGCTCGACAGTGTTGGAGATGGTACCGCAGGCCTGACCATAAAACAATGCCAACAAGAAAAGCGGACTCAACAGGCTGGGAAGAATGTAAAGTGGGCCCACTGCAGCCAAAGTTGACGCATTCAGGGCGCAAATGCCGCTCCAGAGCAGGAAATTGCCAAACCAGTTAGGATGCTGTGACAACTGCCAAACACCGACGTCACAAAACTTACCACGACTGGATGGATCCTTCTTAAACTGCCATTTCTGCCAATCAGCAATAGTCTCCAGCAGAAAACCTGCGGCAAAAATTCCAATGCCAAGCCCATCATACCAACGGAAAGGAGGCCGAATGCTGGAAGACACGCCAGCTGCTAAGGCATGAGGCAACGATACAATCCATCCCCAAGCAAATGAGATGAACCAAAAGCCAAATGCTCCAGCATTGCTTGAGAGCAACTCATCTAGTCGAGCATCCGTATGAGTAAGAAGGGCTCTGTAGAACAGGAAGCCCGCAAGCTTCACTGCCCAGAGAAAAATGCAAACTGCACTGACATTCTGTTGCAGCTCCCCTGGTGCGCCACGCAGTCCAATTGCAGCAACAGAGAAAATGCCAGTCCCAATGGGATCAAGATGGTAGTGGGACCCTGTCGCAACAGAAATTCCCAACCCAACAGCGTTCGCAGCACCAAAAATTATGGCACTTGTAGCCAGCGGCTTTGGCGAGAAATTTTGTAATGCTACATATGCTGCGCCATTGGTGAATGCAGCCCGGCGCACCACCGAAAGAAGACCACGGTTCAGCATCGATGTCTTTCAAGGCAATTTGGTGGAGGTGATCTGTTTGAGCCATGACGGCAAAAAATAGATTTCCTGCTCACCATCCAACTGTCCGCTGCGAAGGTGGGTAAGCCCCAAGGCAGGTCAATCTTAATAAAAGCATCAGTCTTGGGAAGATGCTGCACGCTTGCTTTTGGCAACATCATCACAACAACTGTTCCATGAGGCTTTTTCTTGATATAGTTTGTACTTTCTCGTGTTTTCCGAGCTTTCCAAAGTGACAGTGGCGTCTGCCTACCCAACCGAATCCTGGTGATCTTTGCACAGAGAAGCTGCTTGTGGAAAATCCACGCAAGACACAAGACAACCTCTTGGAAACAACAACACCTGGTTTTAGGTTGGAAGAGAGATATAGAGTATATAATATAGAGACATACAGCTGCATCAAACACATGCACAAGAATGTTGATATGTATTGATATTATTGATATTATTGACATATTATATATATATAAGTATATATGTATGTATATATCTATCTGTGTGTGTGCATGCATGCACGCATGCCAAGAACTTCCGGGCCTGAGGACTGATCCAGTGCCTGCAAATGGGTGTTGGAGATGCTCAATCCGACAAGACTGAGCCGGACAAAAAACAAAGTCTCGGTCTGACCGGTCAATCAGTCCGGCCTGTTAAGCACTCCAAGAGACAGCACAAGCAGAAACACAACCTCAGCTCAAGAACTCGGAAAGGTGGCAGAAATTACACAAGTTAATTAGCTGAGCATTTGTGCAACAATGGGCAACGGGTACGTCTACAGTAAGAACGATAAGAATAAGAATAATAATGATCAAAGGAAGTTTAGGGGGAGAAACTTCCGTGTTACGGACTTTTAGAATGTCAGGGAAAGAGTTAGTCAAAGAAAGAGTTAGTCAAAGAAACAGTTAGTCAGGGAAAGAGTTAGTCAAAGAAAGAGTTAGCAAAGAAAGAGTTCGTCAGGGAAAGAGTTAGTCAAAGAAAGAGTTAGTCAAAGAAACAGTTAGTGAGGGAAAGAGTTAGTCAAAGAAAGAGTTAGTGAGGGAAAGAGTTAGTCAAAGAAAGAGTTAGCAAAGAAACAGTTAGTCAGGGAAAGAGTTAGTCAAAGAAAGATTTAGTGAGGGAAAGAGTTAGTCACAGAAACAGTTAGCAAGAAAGAGTTCGTCAGGGAAAGAGTTAGTCAAAGAAAGAGTTAGTCAAAGAAACAGTTAGTCAGGGAAAGAGTTAGTCAAAGAAAGAGTTAGTGAAGAAAGAGTTAGTCAAGAAACAGTTAGCAAAGAAAGAGTTCGTCAGGGAAAGAGTTAGTCAAAGAAAGAGTTAGTCAAAGAAACAGTTAGTCAGGGAAAGAGTTAGTCAAAGAAAGAGTTAGTGAGGGAAAGAGTTAGTCAAAGAAAGAGTTAGTGAGGGAAAGAGTGAGTCAAAGAAAGAGTTAGTGAGGGAAAGAGTTAGTCAAAGAAAGAGTTAGTCAGGATATATGAGGTAGTCAAAGAAAGAGTTAGCAAAGAAAGAGTTAGTCAAAAAAAGAGCAAAGAAAGAGTTCGTTAGGGAACGAGTTAGTCAAAGAAATTGTTCCCGCAATGTAAATGGGATTGCAAGTGGTGCTGGTGGAGGAGTTGCCGATGGAGTTTTGAAGGAAGTCTCGCACGAAATGCGTTTTTGAGAGATAGCAGATGCACGAAAGCCTTTGTTTTTCCATACAAAGTTCGTCCCCGAACCTCGATGATCTACCTCTGCGGTGCGACGGGTGCGAGACGGTCTCGTGTGTGGTCGGATCATGGTCGGATATGCTCGGATCATGGTCGGATCGGTTCCGCATTGTAAATGGGGTGTCACCTGTTTTTCGTGCATGTGTGGTCGACAGAATTCCATTGTGATTTGCAACTGTAGGATCGTTCCCGCATTGTAAATGGGGTTGCAAGTGGTGCTTGTGGATGAGTTGCCGATGGAATTCCATTGTGATTTGCAACTCTAGGATCGTTCCCTCACTTTAAATGGGATTGCCGATGGAGTTTTGGAGGAAGTCTCGCACGAAATGCGTTTTTGAGAGATAGCAGATGCACGAAACCCTATGTTTTTCCATACAAAGTCCGTCCCCGAACGTCGATGATCTTCCTCTGCGGTGCGACGGGTGCGAGACGGTCTCGTGTGTGGTCGGATCATGCTCGGATATTCTCGGATCGGTCTCGGATCGGTTCCGCATTGTAAATGGGGTTTCAACTGTTTTTCGTGCATGTGTGGTCGACAGAATTCCATGGTGATTTGCAACTGTAGGATCGTTCCCGCATTGTAAATGGGGTTGCAAGTGGTGCTGGTGGGATGTTGCGATGAGATTCCTTGTATGTTGCAACTGTATGATCGTTCCCCGCAATTGCAATGGATTGCAAGGGGTGCTGGTGGAGGAGTTGCGATGGAATCCCATTGTGCTTTGTTCACTTGTAGGATCGTTCCCGCAAGTGTCCCCTAAAAGGTTTCACATGCTTCGGTGGACGAGCTGAGGACGTAATACCATTGTGTTTTGCTAGGGATTGTTGCTAATCGCATTGTAATGGCTGCGTGAACTTGCTGCAGCTGGATTCTTTCAGATTTTGCCTGCTTTCATTTTCTATTTCAATTCTTTATAAAAAACGCTTCAAAAATCAACTTTTTCTGCTCTGGCGTCGAGATCCGGTTTTGGAGCTACAATTTCCGACGCCGTTGTGCGTAGTTCTATTGTGTTTTGCAACTCAGTCTCTGCAGATTGCATTGTAGTGGCTGCGTCAAGGTTGCTTCGTGCTGTGGCTGCGTTCGTAATACTATTGTCTTTTGCAGCTCGACTTCGTAAATCGTATTGGAGTGGCTGCATGAAGGCTGCCACAGTGATTTGTCAGCAGATTTTCTCCATTTTGGCGCTAGTGATTTTCCTTCTAAAAATCCTTTTAAAAAGTGCTTCAAAATCGTCTTTTTTCGCTCTGGCGTCGAGATCCGGTTTTGGAGCTACAATTTCCGACGCCGTTGCGCGTAGTTCTATTGTGTTTTGCAACTCTGTCTCTGCAGATCGCATTGTAATGGCTGTGTCAAGATTGCTTCGTGCTGTGGCTGCATTGGTAATACTATTGTCTTTTGCAGCTGGATCTCGTAAATCGTATTGGAGTGGCTGCATGAAGGCTGCGACATGGATTTGTTAGAAGATTTTCTCCATTTTGGCGCTAGTGATTTTCCTTCTAAAAATCCTTTTAAAAAGTGCTTCAAAATCGTCTTTTTTTCTGCTCTGGCGTCGAGATCCGGTTGTGGAGCTACAATTTCCGGCGCCGTTGCGCGTACTTCTATTGCGTTTTGCAACTCAGTCTCTGCAGATCGCATTGTAATGGCTGCGTCAAGGTTGCTTCATGCTGTGGCTGCATGCGTAATGTCTTTTGCAGCTGGATCTCGTACATCGTCTTGGACTGGCTGCATGAAGGCTGCGAAATGGATTTGTTAGCAGATTTTCTCCATTTTGGCGCTAGTGTTTTTTTGTTGCACGTAGGTTTAGAGCAGTGTGAAGTGTGGGGCGTGAAGAGTGCAGTGTGAAGTGTGCAGTGCGAAGGAAGCAGTGGGAAGTGAGAAGTGTGAAGTGTGGAGTGTGAAGTTTAAGTTTGGAGTGCGAAGAGCGCAGTGTGAAGCGTGAAGTGTGAAGTGTGAGGATTGGACTGTGAAGGAAGCAGTGAGAAGTGTGAAGTGTGGACTGTGAAGTGTGAAGTGTGAGTGAAGTGTGGAGTGTGAAGTGCGAAGTGAGAAGTGTGAAGTGTGAAGTTTGGGGTGTGAAGTTTGGAGTGGGAAGGAAGCAGTGAGAAGTGAGAAGTGTGAAGTGTGGACTGTGAAGTGTGGAGTGTGAAGTGCAAAGTGAGAAGTGTGAAGTTTGGAGTGTGAAGGAAGCAGTGAGAAGTGAGAAGTGTGAAGTGAGAAGTGTGAAGTGTGAACTGTGAAGTGTGGAGTGCGAAGAGCGCAGTGTGAAGTGTGAAGTGTGAAGTGTGAGGTTTGGAGTGTGAAGGAAGCAGTGAGAAGTGTGAAGTGTGGACTGTGAAGTGTGAAGTGTGAGTTAAGTGTGGAGTGTGAAGTGCGAAGTGAGAAGTGTGAAGTTTGGAGTGTGAAGTTTGGAGTGGGAAGGAAGCAGTGAGAAGTGAGAAGTGTGAAGTGTGGACTGTGAAGTGTGGAGTGTGAAGTGCGAAGTGAGAAGTGAGAAGTGTGAAGTTTGGAGTGTGAAGGAAGCAGTGAGAAGTGAGAAGTGTGAAGTGAGAAGTGTGAAGTGTGGACTGTGAAGTGTGAAGTGTGAAGTGCGAAGTGAGAAGTGTGAAGTGTGAAGTGTGAAGTTTGGAGTGGGAAGGAAGCAGTGAGAAGTGAGAAGTGTGAAATGTGGAGTGTGAAGTGTGAAGTCTGAAGTGCGAAGTGAGAAGTGTGGACTGTGAAGTGTGAAGTGTGAAGTGTGGACTGTGAAGTGTGAAGTGTGAAGTGTGGACTGTGAAGTGTGGAGTGTGAAGTTTGAAGTTTGGAGTGCGAAGAGTGCGGTGTGCAGTGTGAGGTGTGGAGTGTCGAGGGAAGGACACGGTCGGGACAGGTTGTCTTTGAACTATAGGTCATTTATGTTTGGGAAACTTCCGCCGCCGGCTTGCCCGGGTCTATGTTATATATATATATATGCGTATGCGTATGTATAGATATACGTAATGTGTATGTATATAGAGAGAGAGAGAGATACACATATATACAGATATACATTATATATTACAGAACATAACAATGTATATATATATATATGCGGATGTAATGAGACACCAGAAAAGATGGTGGATTCAACCAATATCACGATGGCAATGGATGTGGGGGCTTTACGTAATGGATGTGCCGGTCGTTTTTTTGGGTTGTAGATTTCGTAAATTGTTACCCTCTGGTAAACTAACAGTTTGCTTTGGAAAATGGCCCATTTATAGATGGTTTACCCATTAAAAATTGTGATTTTCTATAGCTATGTTAGTTTACCAGAGGGTAGTAACGTAGATGTCATTGCCATTTAATCTCTTCGGATATGATATATGTATATTTACATATATGTCATGCAGTTATGTCTATATGAAAGGATCATGGGCCGCTAGAAAAATCTGATGAATCCCCCTCATTGAAGTAGCTAAAAGTCATGACTTCACTACCATAAAACTGCTGAGTTGGAATTATTTGGGATGATGATCCAAATTGGAAACATTGATTGCCATTCATTTCATTTCTTTGATGTTATTCTTTGAAATTACTTGGGATTATGATACTTATTGACCTATTTTCAGGGGGTGAAACTGTTACAACCGGTCGGAGAAAATTGAAGCTTGGTGAAGTGCGACCCAGAAATGACCATGTCATACAATTCCTGGATTTTCCAGTGATGTTTGATCAGCGACTAAGATCCTGGTTGGTTTGAGCGGACCCTTTTCGACCATTGCTTAGTGGATGCCATGCTTTGTCAATATCCCCAATTCTTCAGCTTTTGCCGATGAACCACTCCGTCAACTCGCATTGCTCAGGGGCTAACATGTAGACTCAACCACTGGAAAACTTCCCTGTGACACGAACCGTGGCCTTTTTCACAAGGACTCACAGGTCCATGAGCGCTTAGATCTACACGTAGAGGCTTTGCCCCTGATGGCTACAGGCCAGGGGAACTAGTTAGAATGGTGTCAATTGACAGTCAAAATGATGGATAGCCTTTTTATTGCAATAAAAAAATTTGACTTCTAAACCGACGATTTTGTGTGATCCAATTTTTCAGACAGCCGCATATGTAGGTGCTCGACAACTTGGCTTTAAGCATTTTGAAAACAGCATCTCCCCAAAACCAATAAAACCATTGGTTCAAAGTCTCTTGGTGGGACCCCCACTTTTTTGGGGCTTAAATTCACCAAAATCTGCAACCAACCCCTTCGAATGTTGGTTGAATCCCCATGAATCTCCTGAAATCGACCTAGAAAATCTGCTGAAATCCCGGCGCCATGGGCGAGACGGAACTGATCTCCATCGGCCAGGAATTGATTCGAAAGCTGACGCTGGGTGAATGTTTGTTGGGATATTCCATTCGATTTAGTGATGAAATATGATAAGATCATTAAGTTACCAGTAGTACCGCACAAGGCGGTGGCGGAAGTTTCAAAAATAGGAAACCTATAGGAGAGATTGGTTGTTGTGAATCAGGGATGGCAGAGCGAATCCACTGATGGACCGAAAGGTGCTTGAGGTCTCCTCTCATTCTCTTTCTTCCTCTGACTATCTA